CTAAGCATTTTTAATACATCTGCATAGAATTGTGGATCACAACCTAATAGATAATTCTACAACACAACTCTAGTACTTAAGGTTCAGGGATAATTACGTAAGAGAGGGCAGAGGATTGCAAGAGCCAAGGGTGCAAGGCGTTTGCTGTAAGACTGTACTTCTTATTAATATAAGAAGCTACATTCATAGAGGCTCAGCAACATGGCTGCCCAAGCAAAAGCTGGACAAGGATGAGGACAACAGACATTTCAAAGTTAAGAGGGAAAGACCATGAGGGCTCCCACACAACACAAACCACTACAGGCAAATGGGAAATAAACAATGATGAAATCAGCAGAAATAGTCTTCTCCAGGGAAGAGTTTGCCAATTGGCTATCCAATACCAAATTGTTATCTCTGAAAACCTATACATACAAATAACATTATACAAACTGAGCAGGCTGTATATATCTATATTTATATCTATATCTATATTTATACTATAACATCTCTCTATATATACATATACATATATATATATATAGTGTGTGTGTGTGTGTGTGTGTGTGTGAACAAGTAAAATAATGCAGTCATAAATTGAAAAGTGGGGAAGGAGGGGTAATGTAAGGGTTTTGAAGGAGTAAACGGAAGGAAAGAATGGTTTAATTATTTTATAATATCAAAAAGAAAATAATTTTTAAGTTTATTATATTTCCTTTTTGTAGTGGCGGCATCATACATGGTGCTTTGTGTTCTACACAAGGGCTAGAGTACTGAGGTACAACCACATTTCACAGGGTTTTTTTTGTTTATTATAGACAGATTACAATTTTTAATAACACATTTATCCATTTGCCTATTTCTTAGGTATGAATCAGAAATTTGAGTGCTTTCTCTTCAGTTAGAATGCCAGCTTGCTTTTTTATGAAAGTCAGAAGACTCTTATTTGTAGTCTGTAAACTTCATTACACGTTTATGATTAAGACAGCACTCTAACTTTTACATTACAGTTCAACTCGTGCGTTTTTACAGGACCTGTTGTCTTTTCAAAGTTAATATTTCTAGGTTGTTCAGTAAAGCAGTATTTTGTGCCCATGTGAAATAATTTGATGGCAGCAAGCTGGTAGAGAAACATGATACCAACTCCAGTCCCATGATTCCACGGTAGCTAATGAGAACCCTAAACACTATGGGGCTTTCCATAAGAAAGATACTAAACTTTAGTGCTGTGAAATCCAGGGGCTTTCTGATGTTCAGGTGTAAGTGCAAAAATGAATCTTCTTTAAATGCAAATATAATCTGCATACATTTTTCTATAAAGTGCTTTCACTAAGTAAATTAGCTAAGGTTTTTTAAAGAAATATTGCATATACATATATATTACATAGGTATATATACATATATATATATATATATACATATACACATATGTAATAGCTGATTATTCTAAGTATAAATGTTGTCCAAAGGAATAAACTAATATGAATTCTGGAAAGATATTAAATTCATTTGGATTACCACCCATGGACAAAAATGACCTTGTAACCACAGGAGTTTTAATTCAAAATGTTGGTAATATACTTAGGCTAAAAAGTATTAGCACATTTTAAAACATATAAAACTGATTCAATACAAATATACATCATATTTTATAAACATAAATAAAAACAAAAATATTGAATGTATGATATGTACCATAAAAAGCTATGTTTGATACTTTTAACTATGTAAATATGAAATTAACAAGGATATTAATCACTTCTGCATTGACTTGGCAATGTTTATAGAAGGCATGTGAAAGTAGCATAGATCTGGAATTTGAGAAAGTAAGTTTCTGAGCATCTTTTGTAATCTATTATCATGCCAACCACATCCAAAGATTCATTTTAAAAAAATTACTTGAGTTGGCATTTCTCTCACATGAAGAAGTCAGATCCAGAATAAACAGATACATGGCTGATGAAAAAAATTAAGTTATATTGCATTTTCTAAGCCATGAAAAATATTTGATGTAGGATAACAGAACCTAAATCTTCCCATGTGTGTGTGTGTGTGTGTGTGTGTGTGTGTGTGTGTGTGTGTGCGCGCGCGCATGTTTGTGTCAAATCTATTATGTCTACTTTTCATGTGTATCTACAGAATTTTTGTAAGAAATATAGCCAAGTGAGTCTGAGAATTGTCTTCCGTTCTGAATGCATGAAATATTCAGGTATTCTACTTAGATGATCATTTGAAAAGTGTGCTATATGACTTTTCTCAAATGACTTTTCTCATATGCCTTCTCTGAGCAAATGAGGAATAACTGAGATCACCATAATTTAGACAGGAAGGTGAAATGCTTATCTTTTAGCTCATAAGACAGGAAGAAGTGGTTGGCTTCAATCAAGGGCATACTAAACAGACAATGTCTGTATAAGACTCTTGGGCTCTAAAGTATCAAAGTGTATTAGAAATTTATAGAATTTAAAAACAGATTAATTTTAAAACCTAACCTCAAGCAAAACTAACACCCGAGAAGGAAAATTTGTCAGCAGTGGAATTTATAAATTAAGTGAAAATTCTCAAAAATCTATGAGGAGATACATGTGAAGCTAGGAAGAAAGTAAGAGACAATATAAACAGCCAATATACAGAGAAATAGAAATCTTCAGGTGTGTAGGAAAATGTTCATGACTAGACCTTAAACTGTAATAGGTTCTATTTTCTCAAACATATGAAGTATGTGTTTATGTACTATATATGTATATATATTCATATTTATAATATAAATGTCACTCCAAACTATTATACCATGTATTTATAATAGCTATAATTTATATTATGTAAACAAACCCTAATACACATGGAACAGAGAGGTTAGGAGTAGATATTCTGATCCAGTGTCACCCTCCTATCCACTTGGGTGAACTGACCCCTTCTTTATTTGATTTCTCTTGTATATGTCATTACTCTTGGAATACTTACAATGCTATCCAAATGATATAATTTTAAAAGTCTGTAACATTTTTGAAAATGGGCCATTTTTCTGATTCTAATAGCTATGGACAGAGGAAGGAGACTAAAAACTATGGTGACAAAGAACTAAGAACCCTCTCATCTCCATTCCCAGCATCCCCACTGCCAGACTAGGCATAGAAGTAAGTTCTTCCAGCTTCTTGCGATCATCCAGGAAAAATCATCTTCTGGAGCAGCTGCCAATAGCATGCCCTTTAGACTTTGGCCTGAATGCCAAACTGCAGCTGTTCAGTCAGCCTTCCCTATATAGCTTCCTGGCAAAGAAGGCACCCAGTCAACCATTTCAAAGAGGAAATATCAACTCAAAGTGATAAGCCTACAAACACAAGAGTTACTTCTAGGAATGAAGCAAATGATGATAATAACGACACAGTGGCTTCTGTTGTCATTGTTTTTAATTATGGGAATATATTTAAATAGAACCCCCAAATGGAACTGGTTAAGGAATCAAAAATCTCCTAATTCTTTTTTTTTCCAGAACTCATCTCAGATTAGCTAGAGAACGAGATGGCCCTCTGAAACGTGAACGTTGAAGGGGAAGTCTCATTGCCAATAGCAGATACTTCTAAGGTTAAAGGGGAAGGAGAACTGTGAGAGAGGGCACCCAGACAACCAGGGGATGGCAGGGGTAGGTAGAAGCTCCATTTCTAAGTGAATTTTACGGTTTGGGATATATTAAGATGGCAAGCCTGGGTTCTAACACTGGGGGAAGGGAGCTGCAGTGGTCTTCTCTTGCCGGGAACTGTCTCTCACCAACCTCTTGTCACTGCTGTACTTTTTAACCTATTTTGATTCCAAATTTTGATTCTATCTCTATTATTAGGCCTTTTAATAAAAAATAAATTGGAGCAACATTAAAATTTCTTAAGCTACTGTTTGAGTGAACTCTAAATATGTTTTTTAAAATTTTCGATGAAATTATCTCACTGAACTCAATATTTTTTCTATGAATTTTTAAGCACTAGTCTTTTATATCTGATTTTATAATTATCACCATCATTTTTTTTTCTGTTTTCTTTTGGAATCACTGCTTATCATGTTCAATTATTTTTAACCAAATTTTATGGAATTTAATTTTATTAAGCCAATTTCTATTTTTTAATTCATATTCTGTTAATATAAAATATACTTACTCATAATTTTAGTTTTTGTAATTTTCTATTTCAAAAAACTTATAGTCATTGTTTTTGGTTATTTTTACACCTTTAGGCTTTACCAAAAAGATTAATTTTAGAAAATATAATTTATCACTTCAGTCACATCTATGGTCCTATGAACCTATCTACCTACCCATCTATCTTGTATCGTCTAATTATCTGTTTGCCAGTCAGCCTACGTCTTCCATACCTGTTACTGCAGTAGGTTTCGTCTTATTTGTTCATGGGGTAGAATCACGCGTTCTTTAATTCGTCAAGGAAGAGTGGCAGAAGCAAATGACAGGGCAGCAGTGGCAAATTCATAAAACCCCAAATTTGTGTTCCATTCTCTTCTATGTCTTGATAGAAAAGCACTTGAACTTTCTGACTTTTTCTATTAAATCACCTTTTTTTCTCTGCCACACTTAAATATCTATGTGCACTCTGAAGATGTCAGATTAGGTATATGAAAATAAGAATTGTTAATGAGTAAAAACACTTGAATATTATGTCTACAAATTACATTTTCACATTATATGAATAACCAGCATGGATTTATTCATTTACAGTTATCTCTTTTTGCTCTGTATGCTTTTTCTTTGCACGTTATTTGTAATCTTATTAACTTGTAAATTTCTCAAATGCTCCCGTTGGTAATCACTTAAGGTGCAGCTAATTAATATGAAAGTTCAAATGCATTTAGCACCTGTAAATATTTATTTGAAACATTTCTGAATATAATGGCTAAGGATAAGAAATGTGCCTGTGATGACATGCATCACATTCTTCAAAACAAAGCTTCCTCAGGTACAATTATGTCATCATGAAGTCAGGTTTTCCACATTCTAAAATAGACTCATCGCCATATGAATTGTTATCTTACTGAGCTATTTTTGGAGTTTTCTTTTTAACAGCTTTCTTGTGAGTGTATTCTAAATTTCTCACAATGTAAACCCCCAAATTTCTTGTTTCATCTTATGCACTTGCATTCTTGATCAGTATTTAGGAATGATCACCTTTATCTTTCATTCTATTCATTTCCATTGGCGTGGCAAATGAAGGCATACACAACCCCCCAATACCCTCACACACACACACACACTGACACCCGGTCACAAAAATACATAAATTCTAGCTTAATTGTGTAAAATATAAACTTTCAACTTCCACAAGAAGTCAGCATCTTCTTTAACATCGCAGCTCAGGACTCACCTGTGGGCGTGGATGTCCTGTAACCAGACAGGTCAGTTCTAGAGTTTCTCCTTCCCGGATAGTGTAGACCCTTTCAGAGTAGCGTTCCTCCTCAATATTACAGGCCAATCCTGAGTGCACAATCCGAACTGTCGGGGGAGCTGCGGAGTCAGGAAGAAAAGACACAAGATAGGTGAAAACCCAAATAAATCGCGTCCACACGAACTATCCCAATTGTAAGAGTAATTCTCATTAGACTCTATAATAGCCAGAACTATTAGCCTAACACTTAGAACTTTTTTTTTTTTTTTTTTTTTTGGTTTTCCGAGACAGGGTTTCTCTGTGTAACTTTGCGCCTTTCCTGGGACTCACTTGGTAGCCCAGGCTGGCCTCGAACTCACAGAGATCCACCTGCCTCTGCCTCCCGAGTGCTGGGATTAAAGGCGTGCACCACCACCGCCCGGCTAGAACTTTCTTAAAGGTTTCGAGATTTTCTTGGCAAAACATTTCTAATTTATCTAATAGTCAGCACAGTATTCTGAAAATGTCAAAGGGGAAGAGAGCAGTGAGAGAAAACTGCTGCATCCAGAAACCATGTCATTACAAGGCCCTGTGATTAAGTTGATTGTTAATATGTAGGAAGGCCTCTTCCTTTCTGAAAATAAAACTTGAAAAAGATAAGTAATGATATACCTGGAATATGTAATGCCAAAGGAAGATGACGATTATAAGAGAAGAAGGCATTTGAATTAAAGACGCAGACATTAGTCAGCTCATTTTAAAGTCCTGTGGTACAGAAAAGGACCCAAGGGATATTCATGCTAGGAGACAGCATGTCAGCTCAGTTAGCAGCATCTACAGACCCCTGCCTTAGCATGAATAAAAGGTGGTCTCTGAGTAAAGACACTGAAGCTAGCAGCAAATTATTGATGACTTACTCTCAAATTTTAATAATAATTTAACACTTATGGAGCTGTAGAAATCGCATTTTCTCTTGCTTTAGTGCACAAAGACCTTAAGAAACTTGATTAGTTTTTGTTGCATTACCTATCACAAGCAGAAACTCCTCAAGTGATGAAAAATACTTAGCTAATCATACATGTTGTCTACGATCAAATACATACTGACAGCTAGGAACTTTGGAATGGAGGTCATCTCCATTTTTGGACACAACATCTTTGTGTGTAATACATTTGGAGGTAAAAGAGAAAATGATCTTAACTGAAGGAAAAATGAGAAGATTGCCTGCACATGTAGAGGGCAGCAATCACAGACTATTCTGACAAGAATATCCATTTTAAACAGCATTGCCCTTAATAGAAGCTATCAGTTTCCAAAAAAGAACACTTGAATGCTTGAATTTTTTTAAAAAAATTGGCATAAAAAGATCACAAGTCCTATATTTCTTGAAAATGATGTTGGTGCTTCCATGAAGAAGAAAAAGACTACTCAATTTATGAAAAGTCCTCTTGTGGGAAATTCATGTTTTGAAGGGAAAATCATTTCTGATGTGTAATGTTTTGACATACACCACTAAGATCCTTAGGGCACTCACAGAGATGAATAACTAAGAGGGTGTATTTCTTTATCTTTCTAAATTTTGTGAAAATGAAAATAGATAAGCCCACTTGATGGAAAAAATAAAAAGAAGACCCAAAAATACAAACAAAAAAAATCAACAAATGATTATATTCTTTGCTTACAAGCCTAATATTCAAATTAAAAATCAAGCTGCTTTCTAATATTCATCAGGGGAAGCTACAAGGCAGGCTGGGAAAGAAAGCCATTTCTAGAAGGGTACTTGCAACACTCCATGTGGGTAATTCTTGCCCCCAGTGCTTGCTATGAATATCTTTCCTCAGTACACAGAATAACCTGACATTTTGGCAGAAAACTCTAGGACTTTGCATTTTAAATCACCATTCACATGATTGTAATGGTGCCACTCACAACTCAGGCTACATTATCAGAAATACTTCTCTGGGTTTCATAAATATTTTTATACTAAAGGAAAATATTCCAAGTGATAAAATGTTCTTTTACTTTTTAAAGAAACCAGAAATGGGACTACAGAAGTGGCTTAAGATTTGGGAGCACTCACTGGCTGCTCTTTCAGAGGACCTGGGTTCAATTCCAGGCACCCAACATGATGTTTCACAACCATCTGTTATTCCAATTCCAGGGTATCTGAGACCCTCTTTGGGCCTCTGCAGATACTAGACACTCAAGTTGTGCACATACATACATACGTACAAAATACTCACACATATCAGATAAAATTTTTTAAAGTAACCAAATATGATCTGAATAGTAATATTATCAGTAGACATGTTAACACATAAGGGGAAATCTAGACAAAGTGGTCAACTCTGAAGCCACATACAAACAATCTTCACTAAGTGGACTTATCAGTGTGTGTGTGTGTGTGTGTGTGTGTGTGTGTGTGTGTGTGTGTGTAACAATAGCAATAAAAAAGGAGGCTATCAGTTTGAGAGAGAGTAGGAGTCAATGGGGCAGGTTGTAAGGAGGAAAGGGAAGAGGATAAGTAATTATATTTTAATTAAAAAAAATAAAACTTAAAAGGTAACCAAACACTTGACATCATTTTATTGGTTTAAAAAAAAAAAGTGATACTTGGCTGGCCAGTGGTGGCGCATGCATTTAATTTCGACACTCGGGAGGCAGAGTCAGGCAGCTCTCCGTGAATTCAAGGCCAGCCTGGGCTACAGAGTGAGTTCCAATACAGGCACCAAAGCTACACAGAGAAACCTTGTCTCAAAAAACAAACAAACAAACCACAAATAAATAAATAAATAACGTAGTGATTCTTAAATGAACCCAATGCTCAGTTTGGGCAATAGAATTACTTAGTTCAGAACTTTTGCTTTGGATTCTGTCTAGACACTGAAACAATTTCTGGGAGTCTTATGACACTGGATATTCTTAATGCTCTGGATGCTCTGGTGTCTCATGCAATGTTTCCCCAAATTATTGCAGACAGTGATCAAATTTACAATTCAATTTAGACAACTAATCCTGGTAGGTACTTTTTAAAAGCCATCTGCCTTGTATAATTATACACGTATTATAAGAGCTAATGACATCAAATGCTTACAAAACATAAATAGAAACAATTTAAATAGAAAATATGTTTTTCTTTAAATAAATAACTATGCTAAATTTAGTCTCATAAATGATAGTCCACATATATTAATACATCTAATTACACAGTTACATGACATTCTTTCTAGACTAATTTGTACTTGTTATGTTTTGTTTAAATTTCCGATCAATGCCCAGTATTGTTATTTTTAAGATATATCTTTCAAATGCTTCATTATGCAAATAAGCCCCTTGAGTTAAACAATTTAAATTATACAGTAGGCAAATTGTGACATCTGTAAGGGTTAATTTTCAGCTATTTTCTTCTGTATTTTAACACATTCTTGGAAATGGTAGTTGTTTATGTACTTTCACGAAGGCACCACCTCTCCTGTAGAAGCCGTGATTTTCTACCAAACTTAGTTTTGAGTGTAAGTTCCTGGTAACTTCTAGATATAGGTCTATATTTTGGAGATCTGGGGTAGTTATAGAGATAGCATAGATGGAAGGGCTTTAGAACTCATCCAAGTTAATGCTCTTATTTCCAAACTAGAAAAAGAAAACTTGAGGACATCAGGTGCCTGACATAGCCTGTTTTCTGTAGCCTATGTGAGGTAAAGCAAGTAAGCAAACAAACAAACAAACAAAACACCCCTGTAGCAGGAATCTTAAAAGTTCTTATTAATAAAATCAAACCCGAGGCGAGTTATTGGGGTCCATGGTGGTAGATCAGAGAGACAGAACAAGCCATAGCTATCTCACCTTGCCAGTTCCTCAGCTGGTCCTATTTCCTCAGACTGGAAGCTTCTATGTCCTCATCCCAATGGCTCTCAGCTGAACTGCTGCTCCAAAGCCTGAAGCTTAACCAGCCACATGCTTAACCAGCCAAATCCTTCTAGTTTCTGGTCCTCACGCCTTATATATCTTTGTGCTTTCTACCACCACTCCCTGGGATTAAAGGCTGGCTTTCTGGGATTAATGCTTGACTATTTCCAATGTGGCCTTGAACTCACAGAGATCCAGAGAGATTTATATCTCTGGAATGCTAGGATTAAAGGTGTGAGTGCCACCATTTTCTAGCCTTTGTATTTAGTGGCTGTCTGTTCTCTGACCCCAGATAAATTTATTAGAGTACACAATATTTTGGGGAACACAATACCACCACACACCCCACTGGTCCTTTGTGTTTTTTTATTTTTGTCTATTTAAGCTACATCTGGAGTCATTACATTGGGATTCTTCATAACTCCGAAAGTAGCCTACACTAGACTTAATAAACAAGAAGTGCTGTGAAACCATTCATAACATTAGGCGCTGTAACCAGACCAACAGCAGTGGTATAATTGCTCCAAATTCAATAAACAAAGCATCGTCCCTGTTCACCATCCTGTCCCTGACCCTCCCAAGTGACAGACACCTACAACTGTGGAGATGTTGCCTCTCTCTAGAACCTCCATGCCAGTGATTGAGTAAGGAGCGCTGAGAATTGAAATGTGCTTGCTTATGATGTTCTCCCAACTAGGATTCCCCGACTGCTCTCTGTTCATCGTATAGTCTTAGATTACCAAGCACAATGCTTGTTTTCTTTTTTTCTCCCCAGAAGATGTGTACTGCCCTCTGTATTTTTATCTTTTTTTAACATTCTAACTTCATGTTAGGCACTTCATGGGCTGTAGAGATGACTCAGATTTTAAGAGCTGACAAGTCCTCTTGTTATTCGCCCAGAGGACTTGAGGTTTGGTTCCCAGTACCCATGTCAGGAGGCTCACAACCATCCTTAACTTCAATTTAGCTCCACAGGATGCAATACCCTATCTGCCTCTTCGTTTACCTGCCTGCTTGTCAAATAGCTACACTAACAGGCTCACACATGGAGATGTGTGAGTTGCTACACAGGTGTGTGGGTTCACGTGGGTCTGTGGAAGGAAGACACTGAGGCATCTTAAGAATGAATCTTGCTTTTCATGGCTGCAGGGGGTCCAGCCTCAAAGGACTGAAGCACTAACCCTTCACCTGCCTAGGGCAGTTTTTTTCTCTCCAATACAGTTTAGCCAGTTAATTTCCATATGCTCAAAACAACCTGAAAGGGGCTCCCAACAATACAATGCCAAGTGTAAATTCCTCGATTTGTCAGGTACCATGGTTTTCCGGGTTTTCTGAATCAAGTTTTGTACAGGCCTTTATATCCTTGGGAAACTCCAAGACAAGATTCACACAGAGGACAGCAAGAGAAACAAAAGGTGTCTGCTAAACAAAAGATGGATTAGGGCTAGGTGCTACTCTCCAGAGCCAGGCCAGCTCAGCAGGAATGTCACCACACACACACACACACACACACACACACACACACACACACACTCATTTAAAAATTAATTATGTACTTCTGTGCTAGGAGAAGTGTCACATTTAATATCTGCCACACATCACATAATTTAGAGAACAGTGTTATTAATATTATTGGTGTTTTTGTAAACATAACTAAAATTATAAAGACATCAACTTTGCCTTTTAACAAAAGATCAGCGATTACGGTAATGGATTTATTTACATTAAATGAAATTTGCTATATAATATCAAAATAAGACATGGCTTTGTCCTCTGCTTTGTTGGAAAAAGCTTCAATTCATCATCTTGAAATTGGAGCAAAGGTTATGATTTCCTTTGCCCTATAGATCCAGCAATAAACTTAAATGTTAAAATATTGCATGTGACTCAGATTAATCCAAATTTTTTGAAGTAAACCAAATCTCATTACTTTCTAACACTAATCACACCAGATACTTTAATTTGACAGAGTTATTTTTGCGTTCAAGAGGGCAGTCTAAAAGGGCAAAAGAGGGACACTTTTTATCTTGTTAAAGTGTAGTTTTGAAAGTTAAACCTAATTTTAATTCATTCAGTCGAAAAAGGAACACAGATAAATTCCCAGTATCAGAAACTAGGAAAATATTTATCCTCTTCTATCACACGTAGCATGCACTGATGCATCATGGTGAGGCTATACATGAAGGTTAGTGTCTACATGAAATATACTAGTGTATAATGAAGCTATGTCTTCAAAGAGCTGACAGACTACAGGAGCTGTAGACTGGGAAAAAAAATAAAGATGGTTAAACAGAAGAGGTAGTGTACCAAAAGACAAAAAAAAATTAAAGCCACATTGGAACAAAGCTAAGAAGAATGAAAACTGACTGGGGGAATCCAACAAGCTTCACAGATTCAGTGACATTTAACCTAAGTTTGGAAAGAGATGCTGGGAGAGCATAAGCAGGGAGACACTCCTCAGAGAAAACCATGTTGAAAGACACATCTGTAATCAAGTGCTGCTGTGTTCGAGAAAGAATGGCATGAGCATGTGGCTCTTCCACTAAAAAATAATTTACTCTAAATTTCTACTCTCGTATGACTCCCCCGCCTTAGCAATCTATCTGCGGCACTAGGAAGCTGCCTTTCAATGCCTGAGATGGACATGAGGGAGAGAGGAGTTTGAGGTCTTGATGGATGGGATTTAATTAAAACAGTGTGAAGGCAAAGTGGGGTGGTTCAAATGGCACTGCAGGTTTACTCAGTCTTGCTAAGAGAAAACCGATTATTTTATTCAGAATGAAATGAGGTGAAGAATCCAGAGATCAATAACCTATAAAAAATAGTTTTAGTACACATATATAGATGGAAGAAGATGGTCACACTACATTTCCCGGGATGAAAAATTGAGTTGAAAGCTACCATCATTCTTGCAATTGGCTAATTCATTTTAATTAGTATATGCAGTATCAAGTTTCATTATGACATTTCAAATAGAATTTGCTTTAGTTGGGTCTCGTCCTCCCTTTTCCTCTCCATCCTCTCTCATACCCTCCCCCTGCCAGAGCCTTGCTTCCTGTTTTTAAGTCAAATGTGTCTTACTGCCTTGATTTCCCTCTTCTTTACACCTCTTATTGCCTTCTCATCATCTCCTTCGTAGTTTGTAGTCCATGACCACATTCACACCCACCTTTCTACATGCTTATAAACATTAAAATTTGAGATCCACATATGAAAGACAACATGTAGGCTATGCATAGAGGTGCACACCCCTTCAATCTCAGCCCTCCAGAGGCAGAAGTAGTTGAATCTCTGTGAGTTGGACTTCATGGTGAGTTTCTGGTTGACTGGGGATCCATAGTAGGATTCTGGGGGCGGGGGGGGGGGACAGGATATGAATATGTAATTTTTTTTAATCTGAGTCAAGGTCACCCCCGTATATTACTTCTAGTTCCATTAATTTTTCTGGAAATTTCACAATGTCATTTTTCTTTACAGCTGCATAAAATTCCATCTCATGTACCACGTTGAGAAAAACGACTTAATAGAAGGCACACTCTTAACCACCTGAGCGTGCACATAACTCACTCACTGAGAGGAGACGCCTGCAATGAGGGGCCCTCTAAGTAAGTCGTGGCTGTTTGTTAGAGTGAACAATTTGATGAGAAATGTTTTAAAGGTTAAGCTGCTTCCTCTAACAAGCACAGTTCCTGGAGTTTCTGCTGTTATTATACAGCAATTATTTTGGTATTAGTTGTCTCGCCTCTAAGATCCTCCATTGAAAGCCTTAGACTTGAACAGATTGTTTCAACCCTTATATCCTTCATGAAGTTGCTCTGTCCCATTCAAATTGCCACTAGAAGGTTGCCTCCCCACCAGAGCATTTCAGCTCAGGCTCGTGGTACAAATGCAGGATCTCCCGGGAAACAGTCTGGAGATAGGATGGCCACCTTTGCTTGTCTTGTTAACTGCAGTGGGTAGATCAGTAAATCACTGTGTACAATTCCTCCTCACACACTGGAGGAGAGAGTAGAAGGGAGGTAGGAAAAGGGAGAAGTAGAGGAGAGGGGGTTTTTGGAAGAGAAACAGAGGGGACATGGAGAGAGACTGCTCTCCCGTGGCCAGGCAGATGCAGCAAACCAGCATCTATTCTTTATGTCACCCCCGCCCCCGTCATTCACTTTTGTGTATGAAACCAAACACAATCATATTCAGAATTTCCCTCCATTTTCCGACTGATTTAAGCTGTCACAGTCTTCTCTAAATTGAATTCCATTTTCAACATCATTTTACACTTAGCTAAGCAGCATTGCCGACAACTGATCTCCTTATTCCGCCCCTCCCCAATGCAGCATATGTGCACAATACTTCTGGGACACAGTGGCTTCTGTTCGTCCTCTCTTCACTTGCTACTCATTTTCGATAACTAGGTGCACCCGGTCCCTACTCCTCTTTTTCACAACCATCTCATCACCTGACTTTTAAATGCGCATGGAGGTTTAGCCCAGCCATTCCTAATCTTCATGACACTTCATTGCCCGGCATGCCCCTCCTCAGACTAGTCGCTGCAGTACATGTTCTTTTATCACGAACACAAAATCAGAGTTGGGGAGCATAAAAATTTAAGAAGAAATAAAGAGCTCAGTCTTGGATGTTACTGAGGACTAGGCAGTTGTTGATGGGCCTGAAGACTTAGAAGTTTTAATAACCAAATGAATGAACTCTCAACAGCAGACCACCACGTAGCAGGTGAAATTAAGAGAATCGCGAGAAAACAACAGCAATGAAAATTCTAACGAGAAAGACAAGGAAAATGACTTAATAGGGTTTGCAAAGTCTAAGAAGTACAAAGAAATGAAGGCAGATGTGTGCTTCAGAAGTTACCTGGAGGGACACGAGAGCACATTTTTTGACAGGATTGTCATTTAAGAGGAGAGGAGACAAAAGGTCATTGCCTTTGAGCATTTAGACGGCGCTGGTGAATTCTGAGTGACATGAAGGCTGCAGAGAAGGGAGATCAAAAGACGAATAATGTGAGGTCTGACTGAGCAAAACCCTCTTGGTAGAGCAAAACAGGGTGGCAATGTAAAGTAAATCTGCTGCTGGGGGTTAGCAAAATGCACAAATAAACCAGGAGTAAACAATCACAGAGTGCAACAGAAATGCACCATTATCATCCTGGAAGGATACATAGAAACCTACCACATGTCTCCACTTCCAATATAACGGTAACTGTTTGCCAACACTGCAGTTTATAGAAGTTTGCATTCTCATTTTAAAATAATGTTCCTTAAGTATCTAGTTTATTTCTCTTTTTCTTCTTTTTTAATTTTATCCCCAGTCTCTCCTCCCTCCTCTCCTCCCATTTCCACTCCCCACATCTACCCCTCTCCCCATCCACTCCTCCTCTGTCTCCATTCAGAAAGGGGCAGGCCTCCCATGGGCTTGAACAAAGCATTGCAGTTGTGTAGCTTGGTCTGTTTGTAAGGCTCCTTCTTTCTTCTTGTTCTTTAACATGTTCAACTTTTACAAATTTCTTACCATATATGATGATATTTCTCAGTGCTCTCTAATCACTTCTACAAAAGAACAGGTAATCAGGATTCATCTCCACAGTGCATAAACATGTCCTGCTCATATTTAAAAAACAAACAAGCAAAACAACACTTATCTTGCCTGCTCCTGTTTTGCCTTTATAGTCTGGCAAATACATAGTTTCTATTTCTAAACTATAGTTGAGAAATTAGAGCGCACAGTAGTAAGGAGGCTGTGTGCATGCTCGGCTATCTTATCCTCTGCAGCTTCCTTCTGTCCTGTTCGGTATGTTTATAAAGACACAGCAAAAGTAAAAATTCTACATTGGGAAGGTTTCCTTTTCTTTTCTCACTGTGTTCTTCCTTTCCTTGTTTCTCAGCCTTTGTTGACCCAATTCGGCTTCCTTTGTCAAGGCCTTTTGGAACAACATGCTTACCTTCCACTTCCTAACAATGTAAGTGACGTTTTCCTACTCAATACCCAGTGTATCAGTGAAAACAGACACATATCAATACATGCACAGAGGCAACCATCAGTTTATATAGTGATGCCTTACCATAACTATCTCAGAAGAAAAGTGGTTTAAATTCCCCTGATATCCTTATTTAAGTCATTCCCCAAAAGGTAATATTCTGATATGAAAATATCACAGATGACAGTGTTTTAAATCTGTCTTTAGCTCATTTGTTCTTTTTGTTTGTTTGTTTTTTGTTGTTGTTTTGTTTTTCGAGACAGGGTTTCTCCCTGTTTGGTTTTGGTGCCTGCCCTGGATCTTGCTCTGTATACCAGGCTGGCCTGGAACTCACAGAGATCTGCCTGGCTCTGCTTCCAAGTGCTGGGATTAAAGGCATGCACCACTGCTGCCCAGCTCTTACTTGCTGTTTTTTTTTTTTCCTTCACTTGTTTGGAGTTAAGCACAGTTTTAGAATCATTGTGAGCTTGTCACCCTTCTTTCCATGAGCTTTCCCTGCCCTCCAAATTTGGTTCACCGGACAGAAAAAGAAATGTCCCAAAGTTTATAATTTAATAAATAATATAACAATGTAGTAAGAATCTATTGATCACGCTGACTTTAATCAAAAGATCATTCTAATCTTGTAGCTGTGGCAAATGGCTTTGATTGTGACAGATACTAGATATTTTGTATTAATCTCTCCAACCTATACCAACCATTGTTGTAAATGATTTGAATAACCCAATGGATTCTAGGTCTCAGGGTAAATAAGAAATTTAAGCTTAAAACTACTGGGTTTGAACTGGTAGCTATTGCTTTGCACATTTCTTTAATTTGTTTTTTTATACACTTAAAGCAAATTATTCATTAATATGCAATATGTTATTTAAGAAAATGTATATAAAGATTGCCATCAAAACAAAACAGTGATATCTACTAATAATGTAATTTTGTACATTCCATTTTAATGTTAAAAAGTACAACATATAAAATATTGTTAAACATTAAGAGAATCATTGATATTGTATAATCCCTCTCTTGTGATGCCATTTTAATACATTCACATTGAGTTCCTCACACCATAGAAAATTAAATACAAAATATAAGAAAAAATAAGATATATCTTCCACAAAGTCACATTCATGTGCCATTTCAATGCAAACCTCTGTAAATTTTAACAAATGTACTTCATGGTTTCCACATTTCCCCCTACATTTCTTTTGAAATACCCCTTCATATTTCATCCATAAGGCCTTACAAGCCTTTCCTACATTCTTCCAGGAATTTCCCAGGAGAAATAGCTGAATTTCTTCATGCAATACTGGAAAGTTCATCACACATTTTATTAATCAAATGTTTGCCTCAGAAAGACCTGTGAGTGCTGTACAGAGTACTCCAATATGAAGACACATGTGAGGAAAAACATAGCTCCCCTTCCTTGGGTAAGAATGTGATACATATATGTGGGTTTTGATTTGACATTAGATCCTCTAGAACATCTTGACTTGTCTCTAAATCAAGGTTGGGTTACTGCATTTTAAATAAAAACAGAGGTTGATAAGAGCACTTACTGCCTTTCTAGGGGACTAAAGTTTGGTTCCCAACAACCCACTTCAGGCAGCTTACCTCTTACTTCAGCTCCAGGGGGATCCAATTGCTCTGGCCTCAGTCAGCACCTACACTCATGTACACATATCCACAAACAGACCTATATAATATTGAAAATAAATCTTTTGTTTTCTCTTTTCTGAGACAGGTTTTCTCTATGTAGCCCTGGCTGTCCTGAAACTAGCTCTATAGACCAGGCTGGCCTCGAATACACAAAGATCTGCCTGCCTTTGTCTCCTGAGTGCTGGGTTAAAGGTATGCATCACTACTGCCCAGCTAAAAATAAATCTTAAACAAAAATAACTACTTCAAATTTTTGGAAAATAGGTCAGTGCCCTTCACACCCAGATCATTTTTTTTTAATTTAAGATAAAAACAAAGCAGCTTTCCTGTTGCTCACCTGGCACCATTCTTCATGTGGGCACAGTGAAGGGAACAGACTGTTATGAGACTTTATGAGGGTCTGTAACACTATGCAAGTCTTTAGTGTTTGATGGGGTCTCCTCATCTAAATCAAATGTATGCAAAATGTCAGAAGCCATATATCATGTAATTCAGGCATAGTCTTTAAAAGGAGTTATCACCATACTGTAAGAGATAAGGAATCAGAGGCATGGGTAAATATAATGTTAGTTTCTTTAGCTTTGTGGCCTGAAAGGTATAACAACATATTCATACTTGCCTAAAAGTTAGAGTTTTTTTGTTTTTTTTGAAGTAACTACGAAGCCTCAGTATATACTAAACAAAATAAAGTAACTCCCATTGTTTCCCAACTGTAATCACAAATTGGCTATTTAGAAAGAACCATTCTTTCCCTCAGCCAAGCTCATCAAAAAATAAATAAATAAAACAAATGAAATTTATTACAAAATGTGCCAAAAATGAAAACTCCAATTTGCTTTTCCAAGAGTGGTGAAAGCAGACAGAAATAGAAGGATCTGATCTGCTAATATCTCCACTGCCTCTTTCCATTGAGAAATGTCATCCATTGTCTGTGACTAGTTCCAAAGAGGGCAAGCTCATCAGAAAATTGGGTCAATGCCTTTAGTCCTCAGAAGAGAGGAAGAAGTACAGTCATGATACACACCCACAGTCTGACCAATCCGAAGCACAGATATTGTAGTCCAATTAGACTGCGGCAGGACAATACTTTCAAGAACTCAGAATTCAATAAAGACTAAAAGTTTGACTTGCTGATCTCTAGTTCTCTCTCAAGCTCTGAGAAGCACATTCTTTTATTTCCATGTGAATATATGAACACTGCCAGGTAATATAGTGAATTAACAAGGCATTGTTTTGTCTGCAATTCTCCCTTACATTACAAACAATTTCATATGTTTTATTGGTAGTATATGTATGTTCTATTCATTTTAGGACAATGCATTCTAATTTTAAAACTTTAGTTTTTTTCTCTTAGATTGAAAGATTAAGAATACAATTAAGAAAAGTGAAAAATTACCATCATTTATATTCTTATACACAAAGAACAGTTTACTAAATTACTTGACACCATTGCATAAGAGTTCAAAGGAAATCATTCGTCCAAATCACACAAAGTAAGATATAAGTGATAATCAGTAAGTGTTATTAATCAACTCTCATTTTTTTAAAATGTCAAATTTTCACTATTTGAAAGAATTGCACATAGTGCTGAATTACCTGAATTCTCTCCTCAAACAATGTAATTTCATTCATTTGAGGATGGAGTATTGAAAATGACCCTGTAATTATTTCTGCAGCTTAAGGTTACACGGCATTCCCTGGGAACCCTCTCCTACATGCCTCCCCAAGTCTTCTGTCAATCAGGTTCTTAGATCTATTATATACCCAGAAATGGGTTCCCTTCTCCACCACCCCCGTGGCTAACCAAAGGACAAGAACTCTTTCACTTATAAACATTTTATATTAACTCCTATATAAATTCACAAATATCACTTTTAAGAATTGACATGAATTACATTAAGATTATTGATATCTGCTAATGAAACAGAGCTCAAACTGGTGATTTTATACAAATTTCAGATTCTTAATGACAATAGCAGATCAAATTGGTGACTCATAACTCTTAACATTTGTGAATTTTTAAATTTAAATTTATATTTTAAAACAATTTCCTTCTATTAAACCTCCTGAGTAATGGTATTTCCTTGACACTTCTGTATAATGAAGTAAACATTTATTGTAGCCACACTTTATTGCTAATTGTTTTTGTTTAAATTCTTTCAGAAAAGTTTGTTTTGCATGTGTGCCTGTGTAGAGACCAGAAGCCACTGTACGTGTCCTCAGTGACACTATCTACTCCCTGTTAGACCGGGTCTCTCACTGGCCTACAGCTCACCAGTCATACTGAACTGGCTTCCGGAATCCACTTGTTATGTCCCCTCAGATGTGACATTTTACTTACTGTACCAGGCCTGGAACATTTACCAAGGTTCTGGGTTCAAACTCAGACCTTTGCTCAGTGAACCTCCACCCCAGGCCTCAATTGAAAGCTTTTATTGCCACCTTGGGGATTCTTCTTAGTTTAGTCTGTACAGTTGAGTAAATTATGTCTGTAGTGAATACCAAGTTAAATAAGCTTCATCACCAACACAAGTTCTGAAACAGCTAGGTGAGCGTTTTTTCAAATTCTACTTCCAAGAGCAGGTGGCTTATGAAGCATGTTCAGTACAGTCCAACATAAATACTTTGAAAACTAATTGAATAATTTAGTTTTGTTTTGCCTTAGATATTACTAATCAATACTAATTTTGAGATAACTGTGATGCAATGTATACATTTATTTTTCATGGGTAGACTTAGTAGTTTTCTGGAAATGGGTGTGCTAATACAAATTTAATTTATGTATTTAATAATTTGATTTAATAATTAATAAATTATAATTTAAATCCACACAGGTTTAGGTCTATCTGATCTGAAAGACAAATCTCAAGAAGATGTATTGATAATGCATCCATTTCATGTGCATGAAAGATCAAACTTGAACTATCAGCACATATAGAAAACTCCATCTGTATTTCCAAATATATTGGCATAGAAAAGAATGACATCAGTTAAATTTCAAAAGTACAGCCAGGAGAAGGGTGTGCACTGCACAGAGTTTGAGGCCGCACCATGGATATGAATGAGGACTCTAAGTCCATGTGCCTTGGTTCAAATTCTCACTCTGACATTAGTTATTTGACAACAGGCAAAGAACTTGACTGTTCGGTGTCTTCCTTTCCCCCTGTGTGCTGTATAACAATTTCATTCTAATTGTCTGTCTGGGAGCGAGTCTCTTGAAGGCTCAAGAAGTAAACAAATATGTCTCAGAAAGTTCCTGAAACTTGAAATATTCATATCTCCTCCCTGTGGTTACCTAAGAAGTGGAAGGAGATGTGATTTAGGAAGATGAGACTCTGGCCTGTGCAGTACCCTGCAAACTATGAAGGGTTATAGATTTCTTGAGTGTTCATCTGGAGAAGTGGGCTTTTCAGTGATGCTGCTAACTTCCAGCCAAGCAAGTTCCTGTAACTCCTCACCCAGTCACAGTAAGCAAATACCAATGAACTCATTGGCTTGTCAATGTGGACAACTTGATGAAATGATTGCTTTGGTCTGTCATTGGTCCCCTATCAAGGGTGATTATGATTTTGTTCAAACTCTCCAAGAGAATTACACAACAGTCTGCAAAACTGATTAATAATCATACTTTATGTCTTATTTTTTAATGACATGGTGATTAATGTTCAGTGGAACAGTCTCAAAGAATTGGAAAAAGGTAAAATCCATGAATATATTCACATTCATGTATATATAGAGTTTATGTAAAGATAAGGGTGTTCTATGGGAATGTTCTCTGACTTTTTTTGAAAAAAAAATGATTAATAGAGATAATGAGACAAAAAAAGTGGGTAGAACCACAGCTGTGGCTTTATTTTTGGATGACTGATTAAACTCAAAATATCATTAAGTATTAAGCAATCTATCAGATTAAAAAAATGAAGAATCCATAAATTCTGTTACCAGTGCGGAGTGACACAATTTGTCAATAAAGAAATAATTCTGTGGAGCTTTAGAGAGCTCAGTATTTAAGAGCACTTGCTATTTTTCCAGAGGACCTGAGTTCGGTTCCCAGCACTCATGTCTGGCCGTTTCCAATATGTAACTCCTGCTCCAGGGGATCTAGTGTGTTCTTTGGCCTCTGCAGGTACCAGTTCATGTGTGGCATACCCTCAGACAGACAGACAGACAGACAGACAGACAGACAGACAGACAGACAGACACACACACACACACACACACACACACACACACACACACTAATTTTCTT